TGTGTTTATATGAAAAGAAGGAAATATAACTCCTAAATCAAAACCAGCATTTCAGAATGTAATGACCAGTAGTGACCACAGAAAAGTAGACATTTTCAAGGGAATGTGTATTCCATCAATGAAACTGTAGCCCAGACTCAGTACAATGAAGAAACAGGTAGATAATTTGAACATCAGAGACAGAAATCATGATAGATAACTACCAGCCCCTTCTGTGGCCTTCCCTGATGCAGTTTTCACATTAAGAAAATGGAGTCAATATATACCAGATTTCCAGGGTACATGTAATATCAATATTCAAATATGTTCAAGAGCAATATACTCAAAATGCTGTAGTAACTTGTATTAATATATTTGGTATCTTCCCAGTGATGATTACTGTGCCCTCCAAACCAATGTCTCCTTCCAATTACTCAAAAATTTCTGAATTCTAGTAGCATGCATTACACGAAAGCTGCCAGGCATATGGTCTGTATATGACTCTAAGATCCTTGCAGTCTCAATGGTAGCAAAAAAACCTGTCATAATTAGAAACAAAGCTTGAGCATGCTAGAGGGGCTTTAAAAAATCACATTAGGAAACTTGTGAGCTTCTCAGGCTCAGAGCTGAAAAAACAGTATGCAACAATACCACAGACACATCACTAGATGTGTCTCCGGGAATCAGGCACAATACTGTCTATAAGGAGGATCCTTGCCATACCTTCCTTTTCCTTTTTTCTTCCATTTTAGGGAAGCCAGGAAGCTTTAACAGTGCTATACAGTGTCCTCTCAGGGGATTCATCTTCTACTCAACAGCCAAAAGAACTACAACTCTAACTACACCATCAAGAAATCCACAGTAATAATTTCTGTTTTGGTTATAGACAGGGAAAATTAATACAATAGCGTACAGTACTGGGAGATACGGGTTTGATTATCCTAGCGCTCTACAATTACCACTTTCTCTTTTGAAACTGAAAATATGGGACCATTTTAGACTGAGATAAATTGTATAGTGCAAAAGAAGTCAGATTAGTTACAAAAATGTTGCATTTCGCACAAACAGCAAGCACTCCCATAATCCCTTCAGCGGTTTTGACAAAGACGATTTTCTCTCTTCCTATGAAACAGCTGCAATCCAAGAACTAGCCTGTTGAAACTGCATGACCGCTATTCCTTTCTCAATCATTAATGCAGTATATTGAATGTTGTGAATTAAACATTAATATTTCATCATTTATACTGAGGTCATTTGGAACTAAGATGAAATGCATCTCCATACATTTGCATGTGAAGCATAACAAATTTGCCATTAAGTGCAGACACATACTATCCAATTCTTTCCCAACATCTTCGTTTGCTGGGTCCATATGTAAGCACTGCATCCCACAAGTCTATGTCTGGAGTCATGCTTGGCTCTGACTGAGAATCTGGAGTCAGATTGGATGCTGACTGGAATCCCTCATCTTCTGACTGGTCTATACTTTGGGGAACCTGTGAGAGAGTTCAAATGTTATACATTGAAACATTTTACTGAAGAAATATATGCTAATAAAGATGATTTCCTGCTATCACTCATGATCAAAGGACTCTACATAACAAAGCCTGTGTTGTGAGCCCTCCCTTTACATCTGTTTTGATTTTTTCCCTGTAGGCACTCTTTCCATTTGGTAAGCCTCTACTGGTACTAATGCCCATACATAAAACAACAATCACCACCAAAATCATACACTAAATTTGTGGGTATTAAACTCTAAACTTACTCCTTTGGTAAGCATATAGTTCTACAAGTTGAGAACTTGATGTCTGCATATTCAATATGTTACACAAACAAAATCATCCTGCTAGGTACTTCATTTGAGCAAGTGATCCAGGCCCTAATTATTAAAATTTGTAAACATTTTGTTAACTCTGACTAACATAGTTTGTTCCCTTATGCTTATTCATATGCGGAAAACCTGCAGGTTTCCAAACAGTGTATTTGCCATATCCTCAGCTCCCACTCAGCAGGAGTTGTATGTGCAGAACACTATTCAACTTCAGTAAAAGACAATCGTACCCATGTAAAAAGCAGCACGTTCTTCAAGAAATCACAAATTTTCCAGTCTGATGGAAAGAGTGCAGCACTTACTCAGAAAGGTTTTGCCTCCCCTAAGTTACAACTTGCATCCATTATGTGCCACAGGGGTTTTCCTTTTTAATCTCTCTACCTTCAAGTTTCATTTAAAATCCTGAGTTAAGGGAACTGCAAAAGCTATCCATATGTTAAGCAGAAGGAACAAAATGAGGATTAGGAGTACAGAAAAGGATACCTGCTTCATTTTTAATTCCAACACTGTATGCTTCTCTTACAAATTAAACAACTACCTATAGTTTGAACTATAGTTTCAAAGTGGCGTATTGAAAGCATGCATACATTCAAGTCCAAAACAAATGATACCATACTTTAATTGCAAGTCCAGACAAATCTGCATTGTCAGGCACTGGCGGTAAATCCAGTTTGATGTCCATGTCATAGGTACGGCTGTGGACAAGGGCACCGAAGAGTGAGACCCGTGTTTCTTTCTCAAACCTGTCCCCAACCAGACAGTCCCGTGAGAAGAGCCCTATGGCAGGGAGCCCAGTGCCAGGGGCAGCTTCCATGATCTGAAGAGTCTTCTGAATTGTGTCATTGAACTGACATTCTTCGTTTGTTATTAGAGATTGTATATCAGCTTCAAATACACTTACATCATAATAGTCATAACCTTGATACTTGACATTTCTACCAACGTATTTGTTGTTCAGAAAATAGTCCTTTTTTTGTGTTACAAGCTGGGGAGGCCCTGTTCCAGCAAGCTGTACCAGGAGATCTAAGACAGCACTAACTTCAGTAAATGGTAAGCATTCAGCTGTTTCCAGTTCCTCCACAAGATTCTCCAGTCTATCTGCCTGAGCACCGAGGCCAGCAACTCTTAAGTTGAAAGACAGCATCAAGATTTTGTTTTTTACTGGCAGCCTGGAAGCGTTTGACTGCAGCTTACGAGCCTCTTCTTGAAAAAGGTTCATGAACAGGGCATTATAAGCAACCCTTTTCAGACTGTGCTTAGCCCTTCTCTTGCTGATCTTCTGCCTGCCCAGGTGGACCTTCCATGGCAAACCTGTCAAGTGTGCTTCACACAAATCACTGAACAACTGGGTGATGCTCTCCATTTCAAATCAAACTGTTAGGTTACAGCAGTTACAGTCCAGGGCTCTGGTTTCATGCACAGATCTGAAAAATACCAGGAAGAAACACTCGTGATGTGTATAAAACAGATGAGTGTACTTTAACTTAAACTAAGACAGCCCAAAACTAGAGAGAAGAAAACTGACCTAGCACATATTTAGGACACAAGCTATAAAAATAACAGCATGACTTTGATCACAAGCATACTGATGGTGGTGCAAGCTTAATTCCAAGCGCCTGATTTTGCTCGGCACACTGAAATAGAAGAGAGAAGACTGCCCTGATCTAATACAGGATTTCCTGTGGGAACACCTCCAGAGCTTTACCACCCCGTACCCTCTCAGGAGACACCACCACCCCGCTCTCCCCAGCGCAGCGCCCGCCGCAGAAGCCACGGGGCCACGAAGAGAGCGGCCGAGAAGATGAGGGCAAAGAAGCACGGGTGCTGATGGTGACGGGCAGCGCAGGGCAGGGCAGGGCAGGGCTGCATCGGCAGCGGCCGCCCCCGGGGCGGCTCCGGAGTACCCGCAGAAAACGCGCGGGGGTTGACAGCACCACCCGGAGCAGCTCCCGCGGCGGGGCTGAATCGCTGGGGATCCACTGGGCCCAGCCCTGCCGCCCCTGCTCGCTCCCAGCAACGCACGCTGACAGCACCCTGCCCCTGCCCCTGCCCCGTTCCCGGCCCGCTCCCGCCGTACCTGCGGCGGCTGCCGGAGCCGCCTCAGCCGCTCCTTCCCCCTTCGCGGGCCGACAAACACGGCGCTGACGTCACGCCAGCGCGACGAGCCGCGAAGAGGCCCCGGGCCTGGCTAAGGGCGGTGCTGGACACGCACGTGCAAGGTCCCGTGGCCTCGCAGCGGTGCTGCGGTGCCGCCGAGAGCACGGCGCGGTCCAACAGCGCCGGGCTGCAGAGCTGGCGGGTTGCAAGCCATCCCTGCGGTGCGGGCATGTATGGGGTGAGCCCAGCGTACGCGAAATAACACAGCGGTAACAGAGAGCAATAAACCACGGTGGGGGCCCGGGCTGCACACTGTGGCTGCAGCCTGCTGACCACACTTACAAACTCGTTCTACCAAGAGTACACGGTTTTCATCTTAATTCATGTTTTAATAAAATGCATCAAGATCTTAGAAAAATACATAGCAAAACACGACATTTCATAATTCAAACCATGTAAAAATTCAGCTGAATGAAGGCAAGTAAAAGAGCTATTTCTGAGAAAATGTTTGGGTTTGTTGTTTTTACCCTTGAAAATGCTGAACTGTCAGTTTTATTTATCTATTTATTTATTTCTTTTTTCCAGTGGAGAGAGAATAATTAACAAAAAAAAATCTCCTGTTCTGAAAAGTTCTGAAGCTAACATTTGTCATTGCACAGCTTCCAATTTAAAGTAATTACTTTTTGGAATTTGAAGTTGAGTTTAAAGCGGAATCTTAATTGTCTTCAACTTTCATTTGTGAAAATGCTTGACAAGGCTTTTAGTTTCTTTTGAAATAGATTTTCATTTCAAAATGTTCAAGGATTGGCATTGGAAAGCAGTGCCAATGAGAAGGGTATCAGTGAGAACAGAAAATTGCAAAGACAGATTTAGTTACTAAAATAATGTCAAGCTGATCCCAGCAGCAACACCAGTATAAACATCATTTTTAGTGTTTAAAATTAAAAGGTCACATTATTGAAGTCCCAGTCACACAGAGAAGTGCTCTTAAACATGAGCCCTCAGTTACAATCTGGAATGCTGCAAAATAGGGCAGGCTGTGGCTATTGCCTCAGGATGTTATTTAATTTTGAGAATTGACATGATGTCAGCCTTAGACCACTACCAAACCTCTGGGGGTTTGGGGTTTTTATCTGTTACAGAAACAAGTTACGTTTGGAAAGAAGGGTGAGTGAAGTCCCCTCTACACTGCTCTATTCAATTATATCAGGTTATAAATGCAATTTTTCTTTTTTCTCTCATGCCCATGCCCATTATCATCACAAGTGAAATTTTATTTCATAATCTGATACAAAGGATTCACCTAACATTGTCTGTTCTTTTAATTTTTCTAATGGGCAGTTGTCAGTTGTAAAAAGAAAGAAAAGCAGCTGAACACCTACAGTGTGTGCATGTCCTGTATCACACTTGTGATGATAATGGTTGTTAAGCTTAAACTCCCAATTAAGCATTGGTAGTGGCAGCAGTGTAAGCACTTTTGCATAATGTTGAATAGTACTAAAATGGTTTGGCTGTTATGATTGCTCATTTCAGATGCCTGTCTTCTGGAATTCTTGAACTTGAGTCAAGCTACTGCATACAAGCCTGCTTTACAATGTCACAAACGACACAGGCCCCAGTTTGCAGTCATGAAGTACAGGAATTGTTTCAGGCATCAGTCCCAAATAACTAGTGCCGATATAGAATTTGCAGAGTTCTCCAGCTGAAAATACTCATTTAAACAGTTTTAAAAACAGAAGATAATTGTGAATGACCCTCACTCTGTTTAGAGATTGACCAGCTCTTTTCCTGGTGATTTAAAAGGCAACATGAACAGCAACACATTTTCTTCTGCTGTGTAAAATGATTCTGAAGTCAACTTCTTGAAATCCCATCCTTCACTGAAAAGACCAGTAAGAAGAACTGTTAATCAAAGATCATACCCCAATTCCCAACCCAATAAGAACATTTTTATTGGAACCAGAACACTGCTCTTCGCCATTTCTTCTGAAGGAGAGACGGGCATTCTCCTTCAGAGAGATGCCCACCTTTATCATTGCTTTTTCTGTTGAAAAACAAAAGTTTATCTGCAGTACCTCAGCATGACTAATAACTACTGAGTTACACAGTATCACAGTATGCTAGAGATTGGAAGGGACCTCAAAAGATCATCTAGTCCAATCCCCCTGCCAGAGCAGGAACACCTAGATAATGTTACACAGGAACGTGTCCAGGCGGGTTTTGAATGTCTCCAGGGAAGGAGACTCCACAACCTCCCTGGGCAGCCTGTTCCAGTGTTCCGCCACCCTCACTGAGAAGAAGTTTCTTCTCAAGTTTAAGTGGAACCTCTTGTGTTCCAGTTTGTACCCATTACCCCTTGTCCTATCGTTTGCTACTGAGTAGAGCCTGGCTCCATCCTCATGACACTCCCCCTTTACATATTTATATACACTAATAAGGTCACCCCTCAGTCTCCTCTTCTCTAAACTACAGAGACCCAGCTCCCTCAGTCTTTCCTCATAAGGGAGATGCTCCACTCCCTTCATCATCTTCGTTGCCCTGCGCTGGACTCTCTCCAGCAGGTCCTTGTCCTTCTTGAACTGAGGGGCCCAGAACTGGACACAATATTCCAGATGGGGTCTCACCAGGGCAGAGTAGAGGGGAAGGAGGACCTCTCTCGACCTACTAACCACCCCCCTTCTAATACACCCCAGGATGCCATTGGCCTTCTTGGCCACAAGGGCACAGTGTTGGCTCATGGTCATCCTGTCGTCCACTAGGACCCCCAGGTCCCTCTCCCCTACACTGCTCTCTAGCAGGTCGTTTCCCAACCTATACTGGAACCTGGGGTTGTTCCTGCCCAGATGCAGGACTCTACACTTTCCCTTGTTATATTTCATCCCGTTATTCCCTGCCCAACTCTCCAGCCTGTCCAGGTCTCGCTGGATGGCAGCACAGCCTTCTGGCGTGTCAGCCACTCCTCCCAGCTTAGTGTCATCAGCAAACTTGCTGATAGTACACTCAATTCCCTCATCTAAATCGTTGATGAATATATTAAATAATACTGGTCCCAGTACTGACCCTTGAGGCACTCCACTAGTTACAGGCCTCCAAGTAGACTCCGCCCCATAGACTACAACTCTCTGGCTTCTCTCCTTCAGCCAGTTCACAGTCCACCTCACTACCTGATCATCCAGACCACACTTCCTCAATTTAGCTGTGAGGATGCTGTGGGAGACTGTGTCAAAGGCTTTGCTGAAGTCAAGGTAGACCACATCCACCGCTCTGCCATCATCCATCCACCGTGTTATTTCCTCACAAAAGGCTAAGAGATTGGTCAAGCATGATTTCCCCTTGGTGAAGCCATGTTGACTGCTCCTCGTAACCCTCTTATCCTTGATATGCCTTAAGATGGCACCAAGAATAAGGTGTTCCATCAATTTCCCGGGGATGGAGGTGAGGCTGACCGGTCTATAGTTACCTGGGTCCTCCTTCTTGCCCTTTTTGAAGACTGGAGTGACATTTGCTTTCCTCCAGTCCTCAGGCACCTCTCCCATTTCCCAAGACTTGGTAAAGATGATGGAGAGTGGTCTAGCAATGACTTCCGCCAGTTCCCTCAGCACCCGCGGGTGCATCCCATCTGGACCCATGGATTTATGGATGTCCAGATTGCTCAACTGGTCTCTAACCCATTCCTCATCGACTAAGGCAAACCGCTCCGTTGACCTGACTTCATCTAAGGTCTCAGGGGTACAGGGCTCTTCAGGACTGCCTGCAGCAGAGTAGACAGAGACAAAGAAGGCATTCAGTAACTCTGCCATCTCTGTATCTTCTGTCACCAGGGCACCCATCCCGTTCATCAGTGGGCCTACATTGCCTCTGGTGTTAGTTTTATCTGCCGTGTATTTGAAACAGCTCTTTTTGCTGTCCTTGACCCTTCTCGCCAGGTTTAATTCTAAGGATGCCTTAGTCCTCCTAGCTGCCTTCCTACATCCTCTAGCAGCAGCCTTATATTCCTCCCAAGTGGCCAGCCCCTCCTTCCATGACCTGTAAACTCTCCTCTTCCACTTGAGCATACCCAGCAATTCCCTATTTAGCTACGCAGGTCTCCTGGCCCTCTTCCTTGACTTCCTACGTGTTGGGATGCTCCGATCTTGAGCTCGGAAAAAGCAGTCCTTGAATGCCAACCAACTATCTTGGGCCCCTTTACCTTCAAACAGCCTTGCCCATGGGATTTCCCCTAGCAATTGCTTGAAAAGGCCAAAGTTTGCCCTGCTAAAGTCCAGGGTTGCAATTCTACTTGCTATTCTACTGGTCCTACACCACACAAGATCCTGAATTCCACCATCTTGTGGTCTCTGCAACCAAGGCAGCCCTCAACCCTTACTGCTTCGACCAGATCCTCCTTGTTAGTGAGGATGAGATCCAGCAGCGCTCCTCTCCTGGTTGGCTCATCCACCATTTGCAGGAGGAAGTTATCATCCATACACTGGAGGAACCTCCTGGACTGTGGCTGGGTTGCTGATGGTCCTTCCAGCAAACATCAGGGAAGTTAAAATCCCCCACAACGACCACAGCCTGTGACTGTGAGGCCGCTCTCAGCTGCCTGTAGAAGGCCTCGTCAACTTCCTCACCCTGATCTGGTGGCCTGTAACAGACACCCACAGCAGTATCCCCCCTGCCAGCCTGCCCCTTAATTCTCACCCACAGACTCTCAACTCGCTCGTCATCTGTCCCTGGACAGAACTCAGTGCATTGTAGTTGCTCTTGCACATAAAGAACAACCCCACCACCCCTCCTCGCTGGCCTGTCTTTCCTGAAAAGGACATAGCCCTCCATGACTATATTCCAGTCATGTGAGCTGTCCCACCACGTCTCTGTAATTGCCACCAGATCATAATCTCCTGACTTAACACAGGTTTCTAACTCCTCCTGCTTATTTCCCATGCTGCGCGCATTGGTGTACAGACATTCCAGGGAGCGAGCTGAGCACACCGATTTCACCCTAGGATTATAGGAGGCCTCCCAGTCTTCATTAATTCTGGAGCGCTGCCCCACTGGGGCAAGCCCAGCTACAGCCCCATCCCCCTTCGAATCTAGTTTACAGCTCTCCAAATGAGCCCTGCTAATTCGTGGCCCAGCATCCTTTTGCCTCTGTGAGACAAACCTTTCCCACTTGTCATTGTCCAGACTGGTGCCCTATAAAACCAGCTGTTATCAAAGAATCCAAAGCCCTGCCTGCAGCACCAGTCTCGAAGCCAATCGTTTATGAACTGAATCTTCCCATTCCGTCCCACATCATCAGTGGAAGATGGAAGGAGTGACGAGAAGATCACTTGAGCCCCAGACTCTTTCACCATCTGCCCCAAGGCCCTGTAGTCTTTCTTCATCTCCCTCAGACTGCGGGAAGCAGCTTCCCCCTCACCTGTCTGGAAGACCAGCAGCGGGTAGTAGTCTGTTCAGTGAAGTCATTTGTGGATGGGATGAATGCATGAAAGTGTCACCTGATTTGGCACTATATTCAGAAAACACATTAGGAGTCAGAGCCAGTGCACATCTCACATCTTACTAACTGTTCTTTAAGCATTTAACATTTTGGTAGTTTCACTTCAAGATTTTGGAGTAACAGTATTCAAAGTTCCTAAGGGTACACTTACTATGCTATGAATTTTGGTGCTTTCTGGCTGAAGTGGCAGAATTAAAGCATTCAGAATTTCATGCTTTTCACATTAGATCAATTGTTCCCACTGACTTCAATATCCCACTGACTACAAGGATCCAGCTGTTTTTTTTAACCATCTTTTCAGAAACTTGCATATCTAAAGATAAAACCAGACAGCTTACCTGAACACTGAAGCATTTTCCATTCCTGCTGAAATTGGTCTCTTAATATTTTTATTTGTTTTACTTTTTCCTGGGTAGGAGGTACAAAAACTCCAAAGTGAGGTGTAGAAGTACCCACTAATGCTTTGGCTACACTTTGCATTAAGTTTATCTCCGTATCCTATTTAAGAAGAAAAAAAATACTTCTGGTAACCAAACTTTCTTTGTTTCAGTAATACATGGAGTACTTTAAAACAAGCTTTTGTAATTAAGTTACTAGTATTAGTAGCAAGAATGAGGAACTTTCCTTTTTCAAATAAAAATGTGTCAAAATGGAGAAGTTTTACTGATAAAGGCAAATTATTTTTTATCTCCTGTAAAATTTGTTTCTTTCAGATAGAGAAGTAATCCCAGTTTTCCTTTAGTGACTGAAAAGAAATAATGCTGGGTTAAAGACAGGAAATATTAGGCAGGAAGGGGGCCATGCAGCTTGTTTATTTCGTGCACCATTTACTTTCTATAGGTAGAATATAGAGATATATTTTCCTTCATCAAGAAGTGACTTTTCTGGACTCCAACAGTTTAAATCAATATCATTTGCTCACAGAAATTCTATCGTGAAATGTTGATAGCATGTGAAGATCATTTAATTTGGAAGACTGCAACACTATTTTAAGAGACAGAAGTATTTTTCAATTATTCTAAAAAGCCAAACACATGCATTAGAAACTCCCCAAAAATTACATAAACTTGTTATGGAGCTACCTGCACGGTACCAGTATAAAAGTACCAGCCATTTTGAAATGATGCATACCTAACTTCCTTTTTACCTCCCAGTTTCCCTTTAGAATACCAATAATTCTTTCCATTTCATATTCCTAATTAGTAACATGCAAATACACTATTCATGTCTACTGCATATCAATGTACAAATTATTGTAGCTTGGACAGCTGACATATCAGCACTGCAAATTAAAAAAAAATGACATTTGAGAACACTACAGAATTAAGTATGTCAAAACCCACTTAACTGGCAACTAAATGAATAGTGTATCTTTAAGTGGATACTTGCTGGGGAACAGATAAGAATATGTGAACAATTACTCGTTGTTTCTCATTAAAGAAGAGCTAGAAGGCACAAAAGCAATCAAAAGTTACTGTTTCACAGAACACAGACAGCAATCGTGTTACTCACAGCCACAGGATGCTGCAGGGGCCAAGAGTGTAAACTGAGTTCTTTAAGAGATTAGATAAATTCATGGAAAATACGCTCACTCACACTTATCACACACAGGTCTGGATACAGCCTCTGACTTCCTAAATTTAGAAATCTTTAAGGTGGTGATGTGTGGAAAAACTAGACTAGGGAAAAATCCGTATAATCTTCATTTCCTTTGCCATCCTCTCTACCAGAAACATATTGGGACTCAGTTATGTATTACGGCAGTTAAGGCCACTTAAAGGGTATGTGCCATTCTGATTTACCTTCTGCATGACTGAAATCGTGTGTGATAAAGTACAGCATGGGGGAGAGAAGGAGAGGAAATTTAGTGGTTTATGATAAACAGGCCAATGGGTCACATTTCATGGAAAGAGGCCATACAGTTAACAGACACAAGCATCTGAGAGACAGCTTTGAGGAATGAATCCCAGGTGGAAAGGGAAGTTGTAGCAAATTGTCAGAACATCTACTGTTCATAGACATAACCATGGGCTTGCATTCATACCTCAGCTTCTCAGTCATGGAGGCTGCCTACAGCCCAGTACTCAGCTGTGTCTTGTTCTCAGGACAGAAAGAAATTTAGGCTGCTTGCATCATGAACTCAGGGATACCAAAGGCTGTATGCCAATATCTTCTACTAGGCAGCCTGGAAGCAGTTCATACTACACATGCTGCTGTTTGATTTCAGTTCTGTCCCAGCCACTTTGAAATACCACAGCTTAGCACTATTTCTTACCTCAATCACTGCAAAAATGCGAGATTCAGCTAATCCTTGTAGCAAAGCAAAAAGCAGAGAAATCCCACTTATTCCAAGGCTCCTGTTTGGTCCAACAGCTATTACTGTCAAGTTTGGTTGATAACTGTATGCTACAGGAAGAATTACTCCAAGTACAGCAGAAAAGAAATCATTTCCTTTGGCATCCTTTAACAACAAGAAACTGTTTAGCACACAGGTAAAGCCCCAGATTCCCAGATATAAACCAAAACAGTAAGGTGAATCTCAAAAAGCTTTTGATTGACCTAGGAAATTGGACATTCATCTATTCTCACAGCAGTTTTTACATTAAGCATGCAGATTATTTATCTTTTCTTTAATGTCTTCACACTTTAACTCTGCCTTCTTGAAGATGAACCCCAGTAGCTACTGAAGGTTTCCACAGCCCTGTGCATTCTAATATACTCTACAGATCTGTGAAGGAGTAGTACCCTGGCAAGGGCAAGAAAAGGAAGTATTTTCAGAGGTCCAAATTGCAGTGAGAGGTGTGATTCTCAGTGACATTTTATGAATCTGTAAATACATTCTACTGTTTAAAACATTTTTCTCTAATGTTGTTTCCAGAAAGTGAATCTTACCTCTTTCCAGCTTAGAGAAATATAGTGTTTGGAGCTGGTCTTTCCAAACTCTTCTTTCTCACAAATATGTACCATAAGTACTTTTCTGTAAATAAACACCATATCTGAGTATTTAATCAACAACTTCCAATGAGACAGAATTTTTCTTTCATCATTCTTTAAATACAAATTCATAACAGAGGAGCAAGTAACTGTTTGCATTAGTACATGCCTTAATGTAAACACTAATTAAAATGGAAATAATTTTTAAGGTAGTTTTTAAAGAAGAGTATTGAAAACTATGGGTAAATTACTTTTAAGAAAAAGGGGAAGTGGCAAAAAAAAGTTATAGATAAGTAAAGATTACTTCCAATAAGGAACTCTGCATCTACAGCATGTGCCCCCTACAGTTATAGGAAGACTGTGCACATGGCTTTTAGTCATTTTAGTGTCTGAAATAAAAAGGTCACATTATTGAAGTCCCAATCACACAGAAACGTGCTTTAAAAAATGAGCCCTAAATCACAATCTGGAATGCTGCAAACAGAGCAGACTGTGGCTATTGCCTAGGGATGTTTATTTCATTTTGAGAATTGACATGATGTCAGCTTTAGGCCACTACCAAATCTCTGGGGGGTTGGGGTTTTTGTTATATACAATTCGATACTAACAATAATGTTAGTTATTATATTAGGGCAAATTACATGTCTTCTTTATTACTTTATATTTTCAATATTCTATGTCAGTAACAATCTAATTTTCACATAATATAGAGGGATTATTCTTTAAACCTAAATCTTAAAGTGGCATTTAGAGATAGCAGTTTCTCTTCAGAGATATATTTGGGGATGTTCTGTATTTTGTCTTATGCTAAACTTAATGAACAACATCTCACAACTGAATCCTTGGTGCAGATTTCATCATACATATCGACAACTCATAAACATTTATAAAGCCTTTGGGATGTGAATCCCTGAAGTTGGTCGATGAAAAACTGAACATGAGCTGGCTTCAGTGTGCGCTTGCAGCCCGGAAAGCCAACTGTATCCTGGCCTGCATCAAAAGGAGCGTGACCAGCAGGTCGAAGGAGGTGATCCTGCCCCTCTACTCTGCTCTCATGAGACCCCACGTGGAGTACTGTGGGCAGTTCTGGTGTCCTCAACATAAAAAGGACATGGAACTGTTGGAACAAGTCCAGAGGAGGGCCACAAGGATGATCAGGGGACTGGAGCACCTCCCGTATGAAGACAGGCTGAGAAAGTTGGGGCTGTTCAGCCTGGAGAAGAGAAGGCTGCGTGGAGACCTCATAGCAGCCTTCCAGTATCTGAAGGGGGCCTATAGGGATGCTGGAGAGGGACTCTAAGGACTGTAGTGACAGGACAAGGGGTAACAGGTTAAAACTTAAACGGGGGAAGTTTAGATTGGATGTAAGGAGGAAGTTCTTTACTGTGAGGGTGGTGAGGCAGTGGAACAGGTTGCCCAAAGAAGTGGTAAATGCTCCATCCCTAGCAGTGTTCAAGACCAGGCTGGACAGAGCCTTAAGCAACACTGTTTAGTGTGAGGTGTCCCTGCCCATGGCAGGGGGGTTGGAACTAGATGATCTTAAGGTCCTTTCCAACCTAAACATTCTGATTCTACAAAGTAAAGAGAAATCTCACCCATCTTCTGTATTTGGTCTGATTTGCATGTCTCCAACAAATATACAAAGCACTCTGCAGAAAACAAAGAAAAATATGCATACATTTATATCCAAAGGTATTTTTTTCTATTAGTGCAATTTGTTTAAAGAGTTTGCATGTAGATTACATGCATAAAAATAATGTATATTGTTTCTGAATTTGATCCATTAAAAGTACAAAGAAAAAACATTTATGACAGCTCAGGGGAAGTTCTTTTCTCCCACCAAATACTTTCTAGAAAAAAATGAAACCAAGATAATGTACTTGGGCCAAAGACAATAAAAATCTGACAAAACATAGGCTAGCACAGCAGTCATCCTTACAAGCATTTTGCCTTTGGTAAGGCAAAAGGGGTTTGCTGGCATTTACAATATTGCCTAACTAGATACTGAAAATGCTTTGCATATGGAGATGCTATTTGTTTTAAAATTAAGGCTTTGAAGGCTGTTTGCCATACTTCAAACACCCAGTATCTTATTTTTACATTTTGTCAAACATCCCCAAATACAAAAGATACAAATTCACCTTTGAAATCCAAACTGAACAGAATGTCTTAGTGCAACAGGAACAGACACAGCAGTGGGGGATACTGCAATTCCATTGCATACCTGCAAAATAGATTTCTCATTCAGAATTAATGCTGCACAAGATGATGCCTTTTGTATCAACTGTCTTTTTTCTTGTTTAGATGTGACATTCAAACAAAGCTACTGCTGTATGAAAAGAATCTTATTGATCTATCATAGTAGGGTTAAGAAAATGTTATTCATTTCCTACAGAAAGGCCATAGTTGATTGTTATGCCAAGGGCTGTTCTATAACTTCGTAAGTATGGTGCTGTGCTAAAAGGCAACTGTAAAAATAGCTTTTGCAGGAGAAGGTCATATTTACTGGTTCTCTTAGATAGCCTGCAGATTAGATACACTCAGTGTGCCAGTAGGCAAACTGCATCAGAAATATACATCCTATGTAAAGGAGGTCATCCCTGAATTCTAATTCTGACTCTTCCTTTAACCTAGGCAAGCTATTCCTTTCTGGAAAATTCAATGGCAGTATTACTCACTCAGCCTTTCATGTTTCATTTATGTTGTGTAGTGCTTTGAACTCCACATGAAAGCTAAGCAAAAAGATAATGCATGCTCTCTCTGCTCACTCCTCTTTGTATATGTCAACACAAAAAGCTCAGCTTAGCTTCTGTAGCTCATGGGATGTTCTATTTCTTTACTTTTTTTTTTCTGTCTATTTATAGTCTTTCCCGGAGGTATGAGCAGTCTACAACATTAGAAGTTTGTCCTTGAGATCTACATATATCCGTTCCAACAACAAGAAGGTGGCTTACAAGAAAGAGGCCATTCTGGCAGTTACTCTTACTTGCTGGCCTGGTACTTTAGAAAGAGCTTTTTCTTCAAAGGGAAAGACTAATTTATTATGATGTAGTATTCTTAACTTGTTTGCAATTTTTCCTCTTTGCTTCTCCAACTTTTTATACATAAATACAAACATGTACCCTCCTGGCCTGCCTCCTCTTCATTCCTGACCCTGCAAGAATCAGAATGCCGAGCTGGAATTACTCTGTTCAAAATCACAGCACACAGTGGGGGTTTTAACAGCTCCACTAGCTGGCAGCAGGTGTGTGCATGTATAAATCAAAATTTACTATGAGTAAGCTGTTGTACAGATAATGGCAAATGGGTGCAGCTGCACACAGCATGGCATCTTGTACTGAAAAGTGATGCAGAAGTCTCCCCTAAAGACAGGAGGCAAAACTGTGCATTAAGAGAGGAAATTTTTTTTACATTTCATGTTCAGATTTCTTGCTGCTGCTCACTAGTGCTTGACACACCAGCTTCTGCTCCCTTCAGCTGGAAGACAGAATGCAAGACTCACACAATGTCTTGCCCAAAGATCATCAGAAAGATGTCTTTGGGTTAACCACAATCCCTACATAATTTTTTTTCATCTTGAATATTCTTGTAGTTAAGCACATTCTAGATGAGGATAGGAGGGTTGTGAACTACACAGTAACTAATATCTGGACAACAATACAGTAGAAGGAAAAGTCAGAGGAAGCTAACTCTCCTCCTAGGCTCCTCCACCCCCAAGACTGAAACAGTTTATTATTACCTCCTTCTTAAGTATTTTATCTAGGACAGCCAACACACTGCCAAGAGAGAACAGAGTTTTGTCCTCTTTCACAATGTCTATGTAAAAGCCGCTGTAAAATAAATGATATGAAGAAAACTTAGGTTAGAGGCAATATGTTCAACAAGGACACAGTTAACAGTATTTTGCAGTTAGTACTGATGCTGTAATATTTATATAGGTGCTACACATTGATTCTCAAAACCCCAGCTCTATCAGGAGGATGATAACACTGAAATAGTTTTATCTGTTATCTAATATTATCTAATTATCTAACAGTTTTATCTATATATCTCCACTGAAATAGTTTTATCTGAAAGTATTTTGATTAAGTACTTCAAAGAACTAAACTAAAGGCTGTGAGTGATAACTAACACCAATGTCTTAATTTTTCAAAAGAAGAAACTCTGACTATAACTGAGTAGACTAAAGCCTAAAAGATGGCCATGGCAGAGACAGAGCTAGGTGGCAGTCTGCACAGAGACCTCTCATCCTCATAATTAGGTTGAAAATTAAATAAATAGGACCAACCTGACAAGGGCTTTGATTTCACTTTTGTCCATTTCCTTCACCAAATGAACAGGTCCAGGGAGAAAATGTGCTGACCCTTTAGAGTCAATTGTTGTTGCTGTTTTGATGGGAGGCACTGGAAATAGAATGTTTTTCATGTGCAGTTCCAAAAACCTTTCTACTTCAACAGTTTTGTTGTTGTTAGTTATCTTAGATTCATGCTCTGTGATGGGATTTGGATCAGCTTTTGTTAGTAGGTGTGATTTGGTGCTCAAGTTTGGTAAAAATGATACGTCTAGAGAGAGAAAAAAAAAAAAAAAAGAGGGGTTTAACATGTATTAATCCCTGAGCAGTGTATTAACATTTGGCTACATATATTGCAATAATTATATTTATTATTAATGTACAGATGTAGATTACAAAACAGTACATCTGTATTCGTAATATGCATATTTATTTCTATGCACCAGCTACAATGTTTCCTGCCACAGATGTTACTTTTCAGTGCTGCTACATTTGTTTTAATCTAGCAAAAGGTCATAAATTACAATAACCTTATGCCCATACTTCCAACACAAAAAACAGCACTCTCAAACAAAGATATCAAAGTGCTAGTTTTTGGCATGATGCAAACATAATCATCAAGCTAAACATCAGCTTCAGAAGTTCTTTTCAGACCAGCTGAAGACATGGCCTTGAATGAAACCTCAAACTGCTTCATCAGCCAGTTGATGAATAACTGGTAGTTCAATTATTTTAATCCATTGGTATTAATCTTAATCATTTTGAATTTCTGTATGAATCCATTTACTAATCACATTTGCTTGAGGAAAGAGAAGCAGTTACCTTCATACATCAACCACTTCCAGTAGGGTTTGTGGGCTGCTCTCACATTTTGAATAGACTCAACAGCACTACAAAGGAAACAGGATAAACAGTATCAGCAGTAATGAAAATAAAGGAAACAAATGTACCTCAAAGAAAAAGCAAAACCAAAAAAAATCCAACTGAAAATGAACAAGCTCTGGTCTCCTCTGAGAATATAGAACAGAATGAGAGCCAGTGGGCAGACTGCTTGGAAAGATTAGATTCAAAAGTCAGAAAAAGAAAAGTGAAGAACAACACATGCAGTATGTGCACACATTTACACACACGGAGTGAAATCCCAACCCTACCTTGGAGGAAGCACACCTGTGCCTGACTTCAGGAGAGGCAGGGTTTCACCTGTCTTTGTCAGACATTTTATCTACACAATGTAAAGATGTCATTGGATTCACTCAAAAGCAAGCCTATCTGTTCAGTAACCAAGCAAATTGCATTCCCTGCTATTCTTTGTGTTGAAATCCCTTTTATCACTGGTTATTTGCAGAACTACTGGAAAACGGTCCTATTATGTCAGCTCTCCTACAAACATAATTAAGATCATGTTAAACCCAGGAGAAATTCTGTGTACTTGGAGATTATTTGTAAGGTGTTCAGGTGCTTGACTAATATAATGGATAAATATGTAATCAACTCTGTATTACCTATGATGACAGCAAACAGATGCTGGAACTGGTAGAGAAAAAGTGATACAGGGGGTATGGGATGTGCTTGGAGCAAAATAACCACCTTTGCTCCATCAGAGTTTATACACAGCCTGTGTATATTACACCACTTCCCTGACTGATCTGAGATCCAAGTTTTAACCAATGCAGCCAACTGGTAGGAGCTGCCACCAGAATGCATAAGAAGCATTACTACTGGAAAAAACTCAGGACAACTATTGAGGTGGGAGAGGGACTGAGGATGGAACTTGGAGATGTAGGGGAGATAGTACAGAGAGGTGCTGTTTAGATCTGGGACTGATTGAGGCCCAAGGTTCAGAATGCTTTCCTAGGTCAGATTCACCACTGTGCAAACACAGTCCTACTGTCTCCAAAAAGAAGTTAGACTCAAAAGTTTAATTATCTTGGTTCAGGTCAAGTGCTTTTGCACCCCAAGCTGTGATGCTCCAAATTCCAGAAACAGGAGGAGTCACCACAACTGGCTCCACACAGAATAAGCTCTCACTGACAAGAGAAAGGTCAGCTCCAGCTATTGCTGTACTACAGCAATGAAATGGCTTTGAAGTCTGAAGAACTAATCCTTGCTAATACATTCTTTCCCAAATGCTGGCTCTTATTAACTGGCATTGCCTTGATTACAATAGGATTGTGTCAGCCTTGAGTGAGATAGATCTCTACAGGATAACAAGGTCCAAAATTATAAGCCACTAAATTCTCGCAACTTGAAGTAATTTCAGAAACAGAAGTATACAAAACTGTACCTTGGATGACTTTTTTTTTTTAAGTTATCCAGAGCAGAAAATAATATAATATAAACCATCATATTAAAACCTTAATATACCACCAAACCAGGTGTACCACTTCCTGAAGCATGGTATAAAGCATCACATTAAAACCTTGCTTCAGCAAAATGTTCAAAGCATGCACATCTTTACCTCTCTGATAAATACATGAGTGGTTCTAAAATTCTTCATATGCTTACCTTAGGCAAGGTGCCATTTCTCCAGTTATCTGAGGTATAGGATCTCCAAGCAAAGTCCTTACAGTCATGCAGACGGATTCAGACAATGACTTCAAATGGTACCCACCCTAGAAAAAAGGTATTTCATGTCACTTAAGGAACAAGTACTTGTAACATCCTTCTGAATATCATCATGGAAAACAATTAAACTTTTGAAATATATCTGAAATTATAGAAATGGAAGATGATACGCAAGTACATCTAAGTCAATGACTTCCAATATAAGACCAGTTAAGTTAGAGGCTGTTTTCTGAAATTCACTGGCATCCCATGGTTTGACTCATTTTATCATGATTCAATTAATTTCTGAAATCAGACATGACTTTTTGATGCAAACCCTGGAAACATGCCTTCTCCTTTCCTATCCGTGATATGCTATTTTCATCAATTCTGATGGAAGACTCCTTAGAAAGCAAATATTATCACTGTCTTCTAAAATGTCTGTGTATGGGAAATCTCCCTCAGCCTGACACTTTTAAGACATGATTGTCCTAATGGTTTTGCAGAATTTGGAGAACAACTGAAGACAGACTGAAAACTGCTAGATTGCAGATGACAGACTTCCTGCACACCATCTGTGGAGCAGTCACACCATCGGCATTAGGAGGGGAATTTAGTAAAGGCTCCATTACTAAGTTAAAAGTATATTTAGGTTAAGGGCTTTTTAAGCACTCCTGGAGTTAAGACATAAATTGTAATGGTAATGCAGCTTATTCACTAAATACATTTTAATGAGTGTGGGACTGTCCAGAGCAGCAGGCTAGTCACTGTTTACAAGAACTGAACATATTTGTGGAGGATATGGATTTTTTTGACAATGACCATATGCTCCTTTTTCAAAATGTTAAGTTAAAAAAAAACAAAACAAACCCAGTTTTTAAGACATGTATTTCTTTTAATGTATAACAGTACTGGCAAACCTTAGCCATTTTAGCATTCCTGATTCTCAAAAGATAAAAAGAATAAATTATTTTGTCAAGAACTTTTACTTCCTAGCTTCTATCTTGCCCTACATGGCTCTAATACAAAGACCCTTCCCCTGGGGGTACATTTTACAAGTCATTACCTCTAGGATGACACACAGCTTGCCATTAGCCAACTGCATCAGGAAATGGGTAAGGTGGGCAAAAACTTCGGGAGTGGCATTCATCTGACCCTAAATCAAAGAAAACATTTTGAGATGAAACCCTGAACCAAAACATTGGTAAAAAATCCCCATACAATCTGAAAAACATGAGTCTGAGTTGGAATACTGGAACACTTGCCTTTTATTGTATATAACAAAATGCTGAACCAACCGCTTTAAAGGTGCAACCCCCCCACTATAATTATGCCTATTGAATAATCTGCCTTTACATGTTTTGTTGTAGTATTTAATGAGTTTGAGTCAACTTAAAGACTCAAACATGTATCTATAGCTCAGAGAAAGTGATATTCATAGGACATTGAAGAGGTAGATCAAAACAGATTTATGTCTGACAACAGAAAGGCCACAAGTTACTTACTTCGGGGTCACCAATTCCAGAATCATATCCAGAAGAGACAATGACCAGCTCAGGATCAAACTGTTATAAAACAGAGAGAGTTGTAGCACATTCTTATGCCCTGTTTTCAATTTTGTACTGGAATTCAACAGTACCATGTTCAGCTGGTATTTCAGCTACAATATGAACACAAAGATTCTCCTTGAATAAACACTAAGATCACACTTTTACACTATTTTCATTCCTCCCAGAGAAGTTGCAGATCATAGTATTGAATATCTAAAAGCTAACATTCCTCAAACACTATTCAGTTGATCAGGACATCAGTCATACCAGCGGAAATAAGGTGTTAACTATGCTACTGGCAATTCCTGTGTTTCTACAACATTCAAAGGTGTCTGCTTAAGAAGTACTTAGGAAGGAGGTTTTGGTTTTGCTATTCATATAGCAGAGAAGAAAAAAAAAATACCTCAAAAGCCACTGGAAGCAACACATGGAAGAATGCAGCAAGGTAATCTGAATTTCCCATCCCAACCTGCAAAATATCAGAAATAAGGTCATATTTTCCTGTTGTAATAACAAACTTTCTAAGGTATCTTTAAGACTTTAAGGAATGATAGTATCAAAAGTTAAGGGAACCTTATTATGAGGTCAGGTAAAACAAAAATTCAAGTAAGGTGCATTAATATCCACTGAAGTATGAGCTTCAGTTCTCTGCTGAGCAAGGATGGATGTAATCATCTCCTGAAACACTTTCTGATTTGATGGCAAGATATTATAGAAAAAACAAATATGCACATATTTGCACATCTTCCTCTTTAAAACAAAACAAAAACCAAACAAAAAAAAAAACTAAAATAATGAAAAAAGCATTATCACATTCTTAGCCATATTTCTCTGCAGACATTCCAATGACAGGAAGGATGTACACTATGCTAAGACATCTGCCACGGATGAAAAGCAGTACACTTCTCAGAAAGCGTTATGTAAAGCATGAGATACAAAGCTACTGCATTTGCTTTGTTGTGCTGTAAACAACATTTACCTTATTCCAAGGCAAATTTATGTTAAAACCTTTTCCTCTTCCCCGACCCACAGCATCATAATCAGATTCTTTGAGTGATGGCCAGAATTCCTGATGTTCATAGCGATGCCAGGAAAAATACAAAACACTGAAAGATATACATAACAAATCCAACTTGACAAATTATTGTGGAACTGACTTTATATCCTGAACCTGGTGACTGCATTGATTGAAAGTAATAAAATAGAATTGTCTTTTCTCCTTAGTTTTCTTAAGGGACTTGGACTGTGAAACTTAGCATAGTAGGTCCTGTGGCAAAATTAACCTGCTAAAAATTTCTTGGATGCATGCAGTCCATTCAGCTCAAAGACAGGGCATTTTTAGAAGAGCAGACTTGTTTCTAGAACTTACTTCTGTGGCTTTTCTGAAAACAATATAAAGCTCATGTATTGTATCCAACTACTACTTGAATACTTCAACTGAGAGGTCTGTGAATACAGAGAATAGATGTACTGCCTGAATACTGACATGAAGAGATCTTATTACTGGCAAACCAAGGTAATCATATCAGTCATTTTGTGTTTGCTACTCTTTACAGTAGAGTATATTTACATATTTTTCTTTTTGTTATATTTCCCCCTCTATAACAAGTAGAAAACAACGACTAAAATAGCAAGGAGAATGTTTTGTAAAATTATAGTTTTAGAAATTTAAGAAATCTTATTCTCTCCAGAGATAAGCAATCTTTTACCAGCTAATATAAAAAAACTAAAATTGTTCAAACCTTGGATCCTCTTCAAATATATACTGAGTTCCTTGCCCATGATGCACATCCCAGTCAACAATCAGGATTCTGCATAGATCAGTAAAAGAAAACATTCAGCAGAACCACCACAGCATCTTAATCTAGAGGAGGTATAGGTATAGATTAATATGTTTTTCTGACCTAAAACATATATGATGCCCAGAAAGCTCTAGAAATTAATCTAAAACAGTACAATGTCAGAGTTATCTAAATGACAAATTGGGGTATGAAAAGCTTCTCTAGAGCCAACCATGCACTTACCTGTGTAGACTGTATTTCAGTTTTGCATATTCTGCTGCAATAGCAACATTGTTGAACAAACAGAACCCATTAGCTGCACTTCTCTGGCTGTGGTGACCTGGAGGTCTAAACCAAAGTTTTAAATAGTTACAACAAAAGAATTTTTGGTAAGAAGTGAAAACTTTCTCACCTATTTTCTTACCTTACTAATGCCATTCCATTGCACACTTTTCCTGACATCAGAGCATCCACCAGCTGCAAAGTTGCTCCTACCGCTAGCTTGGCACAGCGGTAAGTGTTCTGAAAGAAACTCATAGTTGCCATCAATCACTAATCAGCTTATTTAAAGTAATTACACATGACATGCTTTTGTACCCCAACAGCAAATTGTCTGGAGATAATTCTACCCAACTGAAGTTGTATGCAGATAGTTGAAAGCATTATTTTACAACACAGATTCCAATATGCTTTTGACTAGATTTACCTGTGATAACCTTATCCTTTATAAGGATGCTCTCTCTGGAGCAGTTAAGAAACATGGGATGGACATACTGAACTGACTAATGGAATAACTCTTTGAGAGTAAGGAATGAAACCTTACAGAGGCAAAACGTGAAGGACCTCACCTGCATTATCTAGCCAAACATTCAAGAGCAACTGTTACCAAGATAGGATTTGTAGCTCACTAATGGTCTACAGTGACATTAAGTGACAAAAATAGAGCTAAAATTTGGGTAGTGAGCTATACTGGCATGATATAATTAAAGAACAGATGACAGGACACTTAGCCAATTTAAATTATAGCATTATACTAAACTTGAAACAGATAACATCATAAATGCAAGTCTATTTAAATAGCAAAAAAATGTATTGCAAATTTTGCCCTACTTAGGAAAGTGTCAATTGGATGGATGCAGTAACACAAATACTCCCACAGAGGAAGCAATTTAACTTACACACCGGATGAAAGAAGAAAGCATCGTAATTTCCAGAGACTTTTTTCAGTTCCTCTTCATTCATTGTTTGGGTGCTTTTTGCCACTTCTAAGTATTCCGAACTGCAGAGGACAGAAAGTTGCAACACTTCACTAAGCAATTAAAAAGGGTTTTTTAAATGTGAAATGCAATGAAAAGTAGCAGAATGTATGTTTAAAAGGGCTGTGATATTTTGCAAGTCCAATAGATACTCTGGAATGCCAGTTGCAGGGTGTAGTGAAAAAAGTAAGGAGCGCTTTGAAAGTAAGGGTTCTTATATGTCATCATGCTCTGCTCCCGGCTCCCCTTGCCTCTCAGAAGGCTGCCCTCACACTCCCTGACAACCGCAAATGAGTGTACAAGCAGCACACAGAACCATATGCAGTTGGCTGCAAAATCATCACACTGAAATGAAAAATACTAGAGCAGATTTCATTGCTATGACTTCAGAATGGGCAAGCTGCTGTTCCCCGACAGAATTAGCTGTGAAGTTTCTCTGTTCAGTTTGCTCTATCTCAAAGACACTTGGAAGAAACATAAGGTTATTATCTTTCTAAAAAAATAGTAATTTTTCTACACATTTTGAAGTCTCTTCACAATTTTGATTAGAAGTTTACTTCTGATCCTATGTATAAATCAGCATTCATTGCTTAAGAACCCAAAGAGTGAGAATGGGGATTCAGTGGAATAGCAGATTCATACTTCAGCACCATACTGAACATCATCTGTCTAACTTTGAGTGTGATGCATTTTCCATTGAAATTACTGGAAGTCACTGGAAGTTCTGGAGCAGATCTTTTCAAATGGAGTGAAGTATGACCTAGAAGTATGAGATTTGTTACTTCATTGAATTAACCTGAATGGTGATGAAAGTATGTTTCAGACCTGTGAACCAACAGGATCTCCTCCTCGCTTCCTTCTCTGGCAGGCACATGGACACATCTTTCCAACAAATGATAACACTTCAGCTGCGTATAAGAGGAAGACAGCCTTTCTGGCACTTCAATATCGCAAACAGGACTAAAAATAAGCAATAATAGTATCACTATAAAATCATACTACCACAGCTAACAAATACACTTCATAATGCCTAGCTTTTAATTTCGCATTGTAAGAACATTCATTACCCTCATAGAGTGATATGTGGGATTAAAAGAGAAATACAGTCTTTAAACACTTTTTGCTTTGGAATTGAGCCAAAAATTGCTTCTAAAATATGCAAGCTGAAAAATATGTATGGTTCTTAAATCAAAAAGAAACACCATGGCATCATTTTTTGTTTGCCCTCTCACCACTGAAAGTAGCAATGCTTAACTACAGACACAGGAATGCTGAAATGAAAAGCTGTAGATTACAATGAAGGTGAACAGGGGAGAAGTGGGTTTGGGAGGGAAGACAACAATGGGCTGGTACTCTGGCACTGCAAAGGTATTAGCCTAATCTATGTAAATTTAGGCAAGTGTCATATACCAATCTCTAACTGAATTTAATTGTCAGCTTTTATCTGAGTATATCCACATATGCTCATAAACATATATCACATCTACAAGATAAATGATCCTTTAGGTTTATAAACTATTTAATTAGCTTAAAATACTTTATTTAGGGGGCTACTCAGATGCCTAAACCTAACACTTCTTGTTAAGGCCTGCCAGCCTGGAGACCTAAAGCTTCTCAAATCCAGTTTCAGACTATCATCACAGCACCTGGATGCAAACTGGGAATAAAATAAAAACTTTTCTACAAAAGGAAAGACTTCCCATTTACTAGGAAAATTACAGTGTTATCTACCACTGGGTGTTTCCTATTACATTTACAAAACCTGCATTTACTTGGTACTTCTCTCAGAAGTCCTGGTAAGAATCTATTAATGAAAACGAAGGCAGTGACTTACTCTCTCCAAAGTAGTTTGTGAGTGGTCATCTCCTCATCATAAATCAGCGCTGTTCCCGAAGCCATTACTACAGACATAACCAAAACAAAAATCCCAAGACATGTGTTTCAGGCAGGAAAGAAAATCTCTTCAAACAAATCTATTATATTAGGCTAGTGAGACTATATGCACACATCATATCTGCTGCAGGACAATTCTGCACTTTAGGCTTTGTACTTACAGAACAAAATCAAAGAAAATCATTGAGCACTCCTCCTGGAGGAGCCAGGCAGCAATGCGAACTCGAAACCGGATGCATGAAGGCAGGATTCAAGATTACCTGCCTTTTGGAGACCTGGGTGCAGGGCTTTGTGGTGTAGGTGAAGGGGCTATGTCACCCCTCCAAGCCCCTCTAGTCCACGCTCAGCTTCGCAAAGACTGCTGAGGACCTGAGCACCGGCCTCCTCATCTGCCATTACACAGAGATACTTACCTGACACGGCTGACGGGAAGGGAAACAGCTACTTGTGAAAACTTAAGTTATAAAGCCACGAAGTTGAAAAACAGGATCCTGTACACCGCGGACGACACAGTTATAGGGGTCTGCTGGGTTCAAAACTCTATCGGTCTTCCAAAACCCCCGAAGCATTTAAGAGAAACAAAGAAACCGGTGTGAAAAAGAGGGTTAAGGTGCACACTGGGCCGCCAGGCCGCCTCACCGAAGCCCTGGAGCCGCCGGAGGGCGCGTTACAGCGGGCCCGTTCTGCTCCTCGCCGCCCGCCTGCCGAGGAAGCCCGGCAGCCCCAGGCGCCCTCCCGGTGGGACTGCCGCGCCCGGGCCACCTCGCAGGCCGCGGCAGGTCCAGCCTCCGGAGCCGGTGAGGGCGGGAAGCCGGCACGCTTCAGCCGCCGCCTGGGCCCGGCCGCCGGGAGCGCCGCAGCTCGGCCGAACGCTCCTCCCGCGGCGGCGACTCTGGGAGTGCCGGCGGGAGTCCCCGCCCTGCTGCCGGCTCTGAGAGCGGCGGGAGCGGGATGGGAGCCCCTGAGCCTGGCTTTCGGCCTCAGTAGTGCCGCTGTTCCTCACATCGCTGCGTCCCGGGGGGCCCTGAAGTACACACCAAAGAAACGTTCACTTTGCCAGAGCGCTGTGAAGTGTGCCTGGCGGGCTGGATTGTGTTGTCATGCCAAGGCTGGTTCAACCACGGGAGCTGGGTTTTAGTATGTAACAAATCCAAGAGAAATACAAACCCAACCAACCTACCAAAACAACAACAGCAACAAAGCAAGCAAAAAAAAAAACCAAACAAAACCAAAAACCAAAAAAACCCACCACCCCTGGCCTGCAGGCTGTCCTTTAATATAAATAAAATAAAAACTTTAACTGATTGCTCCTTCGTTTTCGCAGAGCAGCCAGACTCCCATTCCCAGCAGGCAGCACCAGAGCCCAAACCTCTCTGCACCAAGCCCAGGTGCCAATGCTTCTCCTGCCAGTTCTGAGCAGGTCATCACAGAATGGTTTGGTTGCAAAGGACCTTAAGATCATCCAGTTCCAATCCTCTGCCATGGGCAGGGAGACCTCCCACTAGGACCAGGTTGCTGCAAGCCCTGTCCTACCTGCCCTTGAACACTGCCAGGGATGGGGCAGCCACAGCTTCTCTGGGCAACCTGTGCCAGTGCCTTAGCACCCTCATAGTGAAGAATTTCTTCCTAATGTCTAGCCTAAATCTCCCCTCTTTCAGTGTAAAGCCATTCCCCCTTGTCCTGTCACTACATGCCCTTGTAAAAAGTCCCTCTCAAGGTTTCTTGTAGGCCCCCTTTAGACACTGGGGCTGCTCTAAGGTGTCCCTGGGGCCTTCTCCAAGCTGAACAAGCCTGATTATCTCAGCCTGTCAGCGGGGGGAGGCTTCACAGCCCAGGGGGCTGCTGAGGAGGAGCCTCGGGAGGGCCCTTCAGCAACAGCCGGCATGTGCCTAGCAGCCAGCTGCCTTTAAATATTTACCACTTTTCCTGCAGGGACCAGGCCAGACGCAGCAGGATCAAATGAACTGTGCTTTGGAACAACCCACTTTTTGCTAAGCAGTGACTTCATTATACAGTATAAACTGAACATAGACTGTGTCAACTTTTTTTTCCCCTAGCTTTCTTCTAGTCTTACAGTTCATAGTAGAAAGTGATGGAGCAAGTGCCTTCAGGAGCATGCATACAAATCTGCACTTACAGAGGACATAGCAGGACCCCAGATCAGTACAGATGGGACTTTTAGAAAGCTACTGACCATAAACATTGCCATATTTGTTTCAAGAAAATATTACCATAATAGACACTGTATTGCTGAAACAGCTTCTAATTTGAGTATTATCAATTACCTGGTTTTGTGTCTATTATACACATTTATAAAACTAAAATTGAGTCAAGGTCTGGCCATCTTCATGCAGTCTTTAGTATAAGTGTACTGCACTGACAATAAGGATGCTAATCATGTGGCACCTGTAATATTTCTCATTTATTGAATATTATTACTCCATTAGTTCCCTGCAGACCACTTAGACAACTGGTAAAGTTTATACGTTGGCTTTTGTAATATGTCTGAAAACGAAAAGGACCTTCAGGTAACAGGTACCTGACTGTGATTCCAGTGGAGCACTATCAGCTCTGTCATTGTAAAATGACACACAATGATCAAATCTTGTGGCTGGGGCCATCTACATCGTGTTTAGTTACTTATTCCTATTTATTTTACTTTGATCCTGGCAAAAGCGACCAGCAGAGGGCTGCCTTACTTTAAAATAATGTGAGAAAATGATGTGGATTAATGAAACATTAAGCAAGGGAAAATTTAGGTAACTGGAGAAAATGGCAGAACAGATGGTATAGAAATATATATTTAAGATAGTCAGCTGGATTACAAGTGTTTTATGCTAGGTTTTGCGCATAGTAAAAATTTTTTTTGCGATAAACATTTATACATGATTGGCTAAGTTCAAACTTCATGTGATTAGCTGTAACACTACAGAAAGGAGGCCTGATAACACTGGGCTTTAAGTTCAACTTATAATACCATTTTAAAAGACATTAAGACTTTACATTCCACTTATAATACATTCCTATTTACAAGATAAGTTTGTTATGAGAAGCATAATCATCTTTTTACAAATAATGTGATAAGTATTTACAGGCATTTATGGTATCTCCATTTCTGAGTGGCCAAAGTCAGCTGGGAGTCCCTCCTCTGCCATCGATAAACCTGTTTTACTAAAATGATGCCCTCTTCAATATTCCCCACAAGGAGATACACCATGGGACGATGGGTTGGAGTCATCCTCTGTGTACAGTTTTCATTGATAAGCAGCCACTGCTGTATCATATTCTGAGTTTCATAAGGCAAGAGTGAGCCCTGGGTAATGAATTCCACTTGGCATTCAATGTTATACTCTTGGTCGTCAAATACTGTTCTCTTCTTGGACAGCTTTACTTTCACTGCTAAGGAAAAAAAGGAAACACGTGAGTAACTCCATTTGTTTGCATGCCAAAAGAAACACTACCAATGAAAGCAGGATGATTCCTTAAAAATACTGTCATAATTTATGCTGATAGAGTATGGCAAGGCCTTCTCTAGCAGCGGTATACATTTTAAAATGTTTAAAAATAAAGGTGTGCAGTAAAGATCTTTTTTGTTGAATTAGGCAACTAGCAAAAATATTTTCACAGAAGTAATTTATTTTTACCATCACCTTGTATGTCAGGCTTTCTGGGTAATTAGATATTGAAAGCTGTTGGTGTTGGTTTTGTATCACAAGTAAGAATTTCTTTTACTGATTTGATTTTCTGAGTCTCCTCAGTGAGCTTTGTGTTATGAAAAACTCATACACACAAATATCAACGACATACTGTTCACTAGTGAAATACCAAAGCTTTAGTTGTGGTTTAACCACTAATAAAAGGCAAACCTGCTTATTTGGCAGCTTTTGCCAGAAATATTTTCCATAAAGCATGTTTTTCTACAGTGTAGCCAACTAAACAAGAACAGAAGAGCTGTTTAGTTGTAAACTAGATCATTGATGAATCTTTCATGCAAAATAAATCCTCCTTATATTATGATTTGAAAGAACATATTCTGAAAAACAATTCAAAGTTAAGAGCCAAACTCTTAATCCTTTGAAATTACAGCAGAAACTGTCATTATTGTAATCCTAATTTCAAAGCATTTTAGAAGGAGAGTTGTTATTCTCTTTAATAGCAGCCATATTAGCAAGGACTTACCAAAGTTACTGTCACAGAAAACTTCAAGAACTCTTTTGTGTGTAAAGAATTCCTCCACTGCTGGGCAGGTCTGGCAGGCAGGCTTTGGTAGGACTGCTGAGAAATGATAAAATCATGGTTATGTTTTAAAAACTTTTGGTTTAATTTTCTGCTGTCAAAGCCTAAGAGCCTACTGTTTAACCACAGGGATGACAGAGAAAATACACAACTGGTCAGTGATAACACAGAAAGTCTACACACTCCTCTGAAAACTTGGCAAGGGATGAAAAAGTTTCATTTTCCGTGTGCATTCAGTCTTGTTTGAACTGACAATTTCAATTATCAACATCAAATACAGTAACAAATACAGTATTATTTTTAATACCGCTACAGTGGGTGGGAAAGGGGTTAGGTGGCTGATTTTGTCTGATTCTGGATGCAGCTGCATTAGGATTGTGAACACATGAATTTGGGTGTGCTAGTAGCAACTGAATCCTATTCTTTTCCATAGAAGTTAACAAGCCTGAGTATCTGAATAGTTGAACGCTGTTATCATGAGATCTCCGGTTCCCCTAAAAAAATATTAAAAATCAGATAATAAATCATTCCAACTTTTCTAAGATGATCTGAGAATCAGTTTATTGTATATGTAAAATTATTTGTGATAAGAGCCATTGCTAAGTCTCTATAGACTTCAGAATAAATCAGTGTGCTGCCATGGGTATGATACTGCCCATTGGAGTGCAGGGTGATAAGTGCCTTCCTCCACTATCTGAGCATAGACTATCTACACTTTCTTTTTTTGAAGTGATGCTGATTTACCCCATCTGAGCTCTGCTGCAGCTCATGCTACAAGTACTAGCACTTTCCCCTGCCATCTGCATGAACCGTACAGATAGACATGACCACTTATAAAATCACAGACTGCCTGGGAACAGTGTTCCTTGTATGAACATGATTCCCAGGAACACAGAAGAGCACCACGCTCTCCTCCACCATTTTCCAGCTACCTTTGTGTGAGTATTTGTATTCCTTTGTGAGAGATGCCAGGCACATGTCCTCATCTGCAGGGAATCGATCGCAGTCCAGACTGCCAGGCCAGAGGTGTCCATGGCAGGCAAGCACAGGGGCACAGCTGTCACGGACGGCAACACACATACTCCTACAAGGATGAATGAACCTGTGGCCAGAGGAAATACTAGGCTGAATCACTTAAACTCGCTCAGTGATAACAGAAACTATTTCAACAGTGGTTTTTGTGCAAAGTGCAACATCTGCACTGATATTTAGCATCTTTCAATAATACTATAGTTCAAGAAATGGCAACTGTGCAAACTATGTGAGTGGTTTGTAATATGGACTTCACTGAGCTTACAGGATTAAGTCACAGTTTTTAAAGTTCTTTTTATTACAACCTGGGCAAAGTGTCAGCGTGAGGCTGATTCTATTCACAATAGGTGCTTCAACCCTAAATTAACAAGAATAAAGTTTCAACTATAACAGAATAAAACATGATATCCCTTGACAACAACATTCATTTTCCGAAGGAAAACTGAAGTGGAAGTAGAACATGCTTTCAGTACTTGTCTTTCTGATAAGTACAGAAAAGTTAGAATTACTTTAGAAAAAGTGGAGAGTGCCTTTGGATTATGATAAACATTCATTTCATTTGATCCCCGTTCTGGCAAATAAAAGCTGGAGTTCTGTACTGTGCTGTGGTACTTACGTATCTAAACAGATGGGTGCGAACAGGGAGCACAGGAATGTCCTCACGTGAGGGTGACAGTCCGTGTGTGCAAGGTGCTGCCAGGTGGTGGATTTTAGGATAACCTCGGCCATGCTGGTGTGTCCCATCAGGTTGGGAAGCCTCATTTCAGAGTATCCAATCTTGTGGCACATGCCCATCTCCTTGGGTATCACTACGCATTTCGTGGATAATCCAATGTCAAAGCCCATTGCCACTCTGAATAAACCATTCACAGTAAAAACAAGTATTTTTGCAGTCAAGAACATCTTCCAGTGACTCCTGGGCTGCTGAGCAGGCAGCTGTCAAGCCTCTAAGCTCCAGGGTATGTTGAAACCTTGTGGCTTATATATCCCAAGAGTTTAATGAACTGTGGTTATCAACTGCTTATCAAATCACTTGAGACAAGACCAGGTCTTATTGCCTATTCAAGGGGTTGTTGTGATAACCAGGGAGGTGGAGACAAGGTATAGAGTATATTCCCTAAAGACGCAGATTTGGTATAGACTTTCACGTGTCCCATGGTGTCAATGGCTGCAGCATGCTATGTGGCATATTAAATTTTGACACCTAGAAGCTTTGCTATGTGTTTTCTAATACAAATTAAGAGATCCCCAGAAAAATGGTTGGGCAGACAAGCTGTCTCCTGGGGCTGCTGTGTCTCCTTTGTTTTCAGACACTGCTGACAGGGCAGAAAAAAACAGTGTAGAGTGACTTATCAAGTGAAAATGTTTTGCTTGTGCTAATTGCCTGTGTCTCTTCCACTGTTTTACAATGTAGAAGAGATACTTTCTCTGGTCAAGCACTATAAAAGAGGTAGCCTCCCACTACTAACCAAGTGTTTTGTCTGGAAATTTGGATCCCTATCCTGTTACATGCCTAACCTAAAGGTCCTAACTTGTATTAATTTTAATAGACCTGAAAACAGAGAATTGTTTTACTGATTGGGGTATGTGCCTACCAGATGGCTACAGAGCTTACATCTTTTATTTATCCAAGTTCAGTGTGGATTTAATATTGTAGGACTCTTGCGGCTATCAGTATATGTTCAGCGTGAAAAGGCAGTATACATACGGAAAAACACTATTATTATTTCAAATTAAACTGGCTACACTAAAATTACTCAAATAATGCAGTGTTTCACCTATTTATTAATAAATTATTATTATATCCAGCTGTGTGAAAGCACCTATACCAGAAGTGTACAGAAGCAAACAAACAAAAAAAAAGTAGTGTTCAGTTTCTTAATGAAAAGTTAACAGAATTACTGAGTACTTCACTACTGTTCTTAATATAGTACTGACAAACAGTTCTGCTACAAGCTTTGCAATCACTTAAGGTGACAGAGGTAATATGCAGTTTGCCTATTGTGAATAGAAAAGTCAGATCATGAGTTAAAATAGTTGAATATTTAAACAAAACATTTTGTGGAAAATTTCTCATTTGATGAAAACAGTTTTCCAGTTGGCTGTGGATGTTAATTTTTATTTCCATTTCTTATTACATTTTTATTAACAGAAATGTTCAGATATTAAATGTAAACTGTAAAATACCTGGCTTGACTATTAGACTAAAATGAGTATGTTCATAGTAGTGTATCAGCCAGTATTACTGATGCTTGATTGAAATACAGGTTTTCAGAAACAGCACCTTTTTGTGCTTATACCTAGATGTAGCACATTTAGCAATGTGCTACATATCATGTAAATGTTTATACCTAAATGTTAGATTATTAATCCTAGCATCTTCGAAACAAATGACAAAGCCCCGCCAATGACTCCTTAGCTGTTTTCTTTACTCTAAGCTACTGGGGAAATTATAGTTTAAATTATGTATGGGAAAATTATGTTTAAGTCAGAAAAAATGACAGCATGCAAGGTTCCAGTATACAGTAAAGCTGTATTTAAGAGAATTGTTAGTTTTTATTTTCATCTTTTGTTGCCAGCTCTGTATTTTTTCCTATAAATGTGGTTTCTCTGTATCTGTTATCTCACTTCAAAGCAAAGGAACTGAATACCAGGCCAATTTAGGCCTTATGGTAGCATCCCTTTGCCAGGTGCTCAATGTATTCCGTAAGAAGTTGAAGAGCCTGACTAAAACTCAGTAAAAGCCCTGTTCTTGCTAAGTCTATGCAGGTATCCCTGGGGGACACAATTTCGCATAGCTGCCCTTGCTACCACTCTGCAACAAAGTGATGGCACGAAGCTATTCAGCACAGCGAGAGGGCAGACCCTCATGCCCAGCCAGCTGAGCAGCTGCTTTGAATGGCTGCCTGGTGTCATCTGGTTCTCACCACAGTCAGAGCGAAACCGTAAGCCTCACCTCCTATGCACAGGCATGGCTGCCCAGGGCGCAGAGCTCAGCTCTCACAGGCTCCAGAGCAGACACCCTGATGTCTCTCACCTGAGCGTCACTTCAGCATTGACTCCAATGGAGTGAAACAGGTCTCCATCCCCCTTCTCCAGCAGGCTTCTGCATCCATTTACATTGCTGACATCTTTACCAGGTCACCTCGCAATTCTATGAAGTTAATCAAATTCCTCTCTGACCCTAAGAGTATTCTTTTGTAATACTTTTCTCATCTGATTGCTGTCTGAAAGCAAGATCTTTGGAGAAGGAAACCCTTCTGCTGCATGTAGGACATGGTATTGCATGCACATTCCCAAGTGGTATAAAATATATACTAAGAAAGAGTATATGGTCTCTCAATTATTTAGATGTTTTTCTCTGTCACTGCTTCACAGCCTACAAGAAAACTTGATTGATCCTAAAACCTGAGTCAGCTCTATTACTCCAAATAATGAGGTGGTATTGTGCTGCTGAGGGCCTTGCTGTGCCACTTCCCACCATGGCATGCCTTGCAAACCACCCTGTGCCAGGTCAAGCTCTGGCTGTACCCCAGACCAGGAGTGCTGCCTTGTGACACAGCAGATTTGACTCTGAGATCTCCCTCTAGGCCACCACTGATGGACAGAAAGAGACACGTCTCAAACTAGAGAGTGTGAGATGAAAATGATCTAATAAGAGCTAATGCCTCTCCTGACAAATTGGTCTCCATAGGAACTGTCTTAGAAATAAATAACCGTGTATCTGAGTCAGTTTCCTACCAGGGCTTCACAGGGGCTAGGTCATTTATGAGCCACTGCAGAGCTGTACCTTAAAGATTTTTTTAGGTCTCAAAGAAGGTCAGCTATTTTTTGGTGTTTTGCTTTTGGTGAGCTGACTTTCACTGGGTCATCATTTTGTAATGTTAAGGAGAATCTCCATATGAGTACAGTGGTATCTTTGGAGGCTTGAGGCCTTCAAAGACCCTCCTTGGACCAGTGGGTCAGGAAGGAGGTGCACGCTACTGCTGGGCCATGTCTGGCATGGTGCTTCAGTGGAGAGCCTAGAGGACTCGAGGGTGTGAAGGCTATCAGAAGAATGGCAAGTCTTCTGAATGGCTTTGCTTCTGTTTTTCTTGTTTCCTTGCAGTTTTGACCAGAGTAGCCATTCACCCAGCAACAGCAAGACTATGCATTTGTCAGGAATTCCGAGGCTCACTTGAGGGCTCAAGAATCAACACCAACTCTGAGAACAAAATGTGCACAAAGGCCTTTGCTGGACACCTGTGAGTGCATTGGGCTAAGCTGGAGCTGAAACCAGAGCATTACCTGTCAGTCAGTCATTTTTGTTAGTTTTTTTTTTGTCAGGAAAGAACATCATTTATGGGAGCTTCTGATCCTTTTCTTTTCTGACAGTTGCTGGGTTCCAGATGTTAGCTGGGTTGCATACCTTTCCCTGTGCCATTTTCTGTGTCATCATTTACCAAGGAATCTGGCGATTTGACATTGCTACACTCATAAACACTTTTAAGCATGGGAAAGACTTTGGCTGTGCTTCTGTTTAGGCTTAATTATTTCAATGTTCTTCATAAGCAGATGTTACCTTGAAGCTTTGTTTGAAGCAAGTCATTTATCATTTTTAGCAGGAGTCTTGCAGAGCAGTTATTAAAAATGAACATGTAAAGTAGGTTGCCATTGCTTCAATTCAGTCAGATACTATCTCCTCAGCAGGGCATGAGCTGCAGCACACATGTTGCTGTGCCATAGAGTCACCTTTTTTGCAAACTCTCAGCTGCTCATTGACATGGTGTGGAAAAAAACATTGGGCAAATATGCACACAGCTCGCTCTTGGGAACAGTAAACTGATTTATTGTTGCCACACCAGCTAAACATTCATATTACACAAAAGCTGGTGGGGACACAGTATTTCTAGTCATAGTGATATATGTGTGTAGAGGGTTGCCTGAATAAAGACTGTCTAAACTGACAAAAAAAAGACTAGTTTAGCAAACTATCACAAAAATTGCAACCTCTGCATACGTTTTGCACAGACAGCATATAATATAAGACCTGAGGTTTAGAGAAAATGGAAAGAGGGAGTCCAGCTAATGCCCTTTGAGGCTTCTGAAGAAAGCTGTGTGGTTGTTCCCCTGACCACTGGCTGCATTTATTGTTCCTGGGTATGAGCAACAGTCACCTGCTGATGGACTCTGATAACAGGAAGAGCAGCTGGAGGCTCACTCCCTGCCCACCACCTCTGTGCTGACTCCTTTTACTGTTACCAGAGAGACAGAGAGAGATTAAGCAGGAGCCACCCATCAGACACCAGTAAGAAATGGGACTGATTTTTTCTTCAAAGAAAGTAGGGGTTTGAGAGCCAACTAGCAGATGTAGGCATTTTTGGTTTTAATCTAAGCATTATTGACATCTGTTGCAATATTCAGCTGGAGTCATTTTAATCTGGAGTCTAATTGCAGAGGTGCAAAGCTCTCAGACAAGGATCAAAGCCCATAACCATGTCCCCACAAAAGAAGGTCACAAAAGAAGACTGTGGAGAGAAGGTCTCACTCTGATGACAGCTTTGCTGCACCAGCATCCTTATGCAGCAGGGCAGGGTTTATTTCATAACGTGCCCTTTGCTTTATGAAAAAACAATTAGGCCACGATGGTATGTGTAAAACAGCAGATGAAAAGTCATAAAATGGTTTTGAAGAGGCCTTGTTAATTTGTCTCAATGGCTTTAGCGTTGCTTTAATTTTTAAAGGACAGGAATAATGTATTTTCTTATAAATCTGTAATGCAAATTGTTAAAGGCTCACTTCTCTGGCATGCTGAGCTCTGTCCTTATTACTGTCAATCGATTAACTGACAGGGAAGTTTATTTTAATAGTTAAAGAGAAAGTCAGTGCTTTGAGTATCCCAGACTTAGTTTTTGACCCTGCCAGAAGCTTGCTGTGGAAGCTTTAACCCCACTGCATTGTACTCCCCCACATACAGCCTGTCCTGGTTA